TTGATTTAATATCTGGTCGAAATCAATCGATAATGTGAATTTTGAGGAGAAATATTCAATTTGCAATACTAAGTCTTTATAAACGCAAACAAAAAAATAAGGTACTTTGTTTACTAAAAGAATTCATTAAATAAAAACATCAAGATTAACATCATTTTATTTGAATTATATGCATGTGTAAGTCGAAAGACTCCTTTTCTGATTAGATTGGCGGAAAAAAACGATTATTATCGGAAGATGAAATAGTTCAGGACTAAAATTTGAAAGTTACATTTTGTTCGGTTATCTTTTTTTATTAAATAACAACAATTATTAGATCAAATTAAAAATGCAATCTGCGTGGGTTTATCGAACTCAATTACTAGAACATTATTTGAGTGATATTCATCAACAAACAATAGTTAGGGTGATACATCAATTAGAGGCTAAAGCACAAAATGAACCACACGAATAGACTGCTGAAACAGAGCTTACAATTCAGTAATTACAACAACAATTGCGTGGCAGACTCTATTTGAACAACGATAACTTGACTTCGCTTTGCTTCAAAGTATGCAGCGAATGAATCAGCGGACACCGTGTAACACATAATTATGATTAATAAGGCGTAATTCAAATTTCTCATAGAAATCACAGACACGAACTTATTAGGAGAAGAGTTGAAAACTTTTAAATTTAACAAGATATAAAAACAGTAACTCAACAGAACAGTGTCATGTATTCAGTCGCGGGCTTTATAATGGGGTAAAAGATCATTAAATTATTTTTTAGTGGATGCTCAATCAGAAAGACAAGTACCGATCTATTCACCTCGGTTTTATTCATCACCAACTGACTGCAACATATGAGCTCGACTTTACTTAAATGGACACGGAACTGTTCGACATACATCTATGTTACTTTTTTTTGTTCAAATGCATGGGCCAACAAATGATACGATCTTAAAGTTTCTCTTCAAAACTCACATTATCGATTGATTTCGACCAGATATTAAATCAAATAGTTTTCAAAGACTACGATCAGAAATGAATATTGCTAGCGGTACAGCTCACTTGTCTTCATTGTCAATGATTCAACACAAAGCTAATCCATAGGTTCATGATGATACGATATTTATTAAAATCATGGTTAGTTTTGGTGACATACGAAAAATGCCGATGCGTATCCAACAAATATTGATTAAACAAGAAACAGAGCAAAAAGCACAACCACAGCAAATTCAACGAGAAGGAGAAGCATTGTTTTCACAATAATCAATCGAAACTGACCTAGACCATGATAATTGCAATGGTCAGCAAAATTCCACATGAAATCTTTTTTTTCTGATTATCATTATCTGTTCTAATCAAGAATTCTCATATAAGCTGGTGGTAATTTAGGCAGTGATATGTTTACAAATATTTTTATACTAGATTGTTTTATGAAATCACCAGAGTTAAGGACTTGTTTTCTTTCTCGAGAGCTTGAATAATAACTGAATAAAATTAATATATCACCCGCTATCTGACGATGTATACATTTCAATTGTTTATTTAGTATTGATATTTTCGTTGACCGTAGAAAGGCCGAAAGGGAAAATGTCGAAAGGGAAAAATACCGAAAGAAAAATACTGAAAGAAAAATATCCAAAGGGAAAAATGTCGAATGGATAAATGTCGAAAACAGAAAAGATAGAAAAAAGCGACGTCTCTACTAAATGAAGGTTCTAATAGTTTATTGCTCATTGTTGTTAATCTGATTATTCCATTGGTTTGACACTGTTAGCCATTAATACTATTGATAAGTAATATCTTATGAAAACTAGCTAAAATAGGCGTAAAATAGTATACAACGATTAAAATTCTATCATGATGGACTACAGCTTGCTCATTTTTATCTAGTGAGAATCATTCACCATCTCCAATTATTTCATTTATTAAGTCGCAAAAAGGAAACCCATTGCTTGTATTAGATAAATATATTTTTCAACTGAATAAAACAACAACAACTAGTAAATATTGGGTATGCGTATTTTTATTTATAACTCTTATTTATCTATGATCTATGCTATGATGCTATTATGATTCAAGAATAACAATACCTTAGTGCAAATTTTCGATATTTTTGACTGACTCTGCTTAATTTCTTTTAGCCTCAATTTACATGTTTTTCTATTTTGTAAATCTATCAAGAAAAAACTTCCGAGTATTTCTAAATCGCTACTTGTATTTTATCCTAATTTTTTCTTCTATTTCTGCAGTTGAAGGAATACATTCAATTATAGTTTGCATAATGCGGCTAGTATGAATAAAAATTGGATATCAAACATTTTCATGAGAAAGCGAATGCTTTTGAAGTATAAGTTCAGATGAATGAATTGCTTGTCTTCTTTTCTTTGTTTTCAGCGAAAGACAAATATAAAATCTTGCAAAATTCGACTGAATATTTTCAAACTTGTTTTAATTTAAAATAGATGCAAAATATTTAAAAAAAGAGTCGTTGTTTGTTAATAATGAATAACCGAAAGATTCGGCAGAGACTTAATGTATCATTGTCTTAGTACGGTGAACATTGCTTTTTTTAAATGAGCAAGCCAAATGAATCGCAGAAGCATATATTATTTATAGAAGTAACAATTTGTTGTGCTTTGTCACCACGCAGTCTACTCGCTCACTAAATATTTTAGTATTTTTATATGCAGTTCGTTTCAATAAAATTCATATTTTTTTATTGCTTAAAAAAAGAATGAAAAAAGAGCGTGTGTACACAGAAACAGAACAAAATATGGCGTCATTTTGCGAAATCCGAAGAACAAACAAGCGGTGTATGTCGTAAGAGCTTTTTTCAGCAACAACAAGTCATTTATTTCGAATTTTGGCTCGCAGTGAATAAATCATCGGTAAGAAACTACTGTTATAAGACTAATAACTAATGTTAAGGTGCAGCGAAGTGAACCTTTTAACTCGTTATTATCGCTTACGATTTGTTCATAGTAGACTTGTTCACTGAGACTGCGAGTAAAATCTAAAAGAATTCTATTGTCAAACTTCAATGTGAGTACGAGTAGCAATGGAAAAAATAACAGTCACGGACAAATCTGTACAATTGAATAATATCGCAGTCATAAATTGACGTAGATAAAAATTAGTATGATATGGGTGAGAGTATAGGTGTCGATATGGATGAAAGGAAGAAGTACACGTCACCCACACCCACACCTCAAAGTACTCTGCACGATTACGTCTTAATAGCTACGCGTGAGTTGGTGTCATTTGCATGATTGTTTTCTGGATTTGGATGTTCCTAATGGAATAGAAAAAAACGAAATATAAAATTTATCCTATAATTAACAATCTGAGACCGATTAAAGGACGGGGGTCGATAAGACCCGAAATCGGCCCACGACAAATTTGCTCTCATTTTCTCACAGAATGCTTCCTAATGATACGAAAAAATGTTTTTCAACGAAATCCAGTGAAAAAAACTGTATATTTTGTCGGCAGCGCAAAAATCAGAAAACTGATTTTTCTGACCTCTTTTACATCATAATTCATAGTCATTTCACGACGACTGCGCAGTAATGCGTCGAAATATATAACATTCGACAGCACTTTTCCAGGGCTGTCGAACGGTGTCAAAACATGCGAGAAAATACCTTTGCCTGAGGGTGGTTTGTTACACGCAATGACTCAGCTACTATTTGAAAGCCATTTTTTTACGATTGTTGCTACTACTCGAGTACGGTGAAGAGTTTCCAACCACGACGAAGTACATACCAGTCGAAAGCACTTTTCGAGGGCTGTCGAACGGTGTGAAAACATGCGAGAAAATACCTTTGCCTGAGGGTGAACGACTGTACGCAATGGGGTTACGCTTATGGCTAAAGTCACTGTGGACCATTATTGAAGATATGGTTTGACGTAGCAGTGAACCAGATTTGCCCGCAGCACGGTAAAATATGTACGAATGGAACGCTATTGCCTGCATATTCTTACCTTATTGGCTGATTTCGATACCATGAAGAGAGAATTGGAGATGTCGTTATTAGATGGATCCCTGTTATGAGATCGGGAGGTTTAGAATGTATGTCCTCGAAATGACCAGTAAAAGAAATATACGTAAAACGTGGAGTATGGCGAAAGAACAGTGAATTTTCTGTTATTTGTCGAACATTATACTAATAAATAATACGATCATCTGATCGATCGTACTGTATCTATGCCTTTTCAATACTGTCCATGTGGTAAACGGCTGGACCGGAGTTCAAGTGGCAGACCTTTGAAGTTGCCATGCCTTCGATTGTTTCTCTCTATCAGAACGATGGAACCGGTGGTTGCTGATGCGAAAATTTGTGGCTCGTGTCGTGGTGCATATTATGATTGGAAAAAGAGAAATCCTGACTTCGATGGTATTTTATCGAGAATTGATGGAGAAATGTCATATGATGATGGTGACGTAAGTGTTGTAGATGAAGCGTTCTTTTTTAAATATGGCATTGGTAGTAGATTTATCTATGATTCGTTTAGAATTGTGACATGGATACAAGTGCTAATGATTCATCCAGTGCGTTATATGGAGAGGATTCAGGAAATGATACAAATATCGATGATTCATTAAATGAGCCCAATGAACCATACTGTGATTCGGTTACTCATGGCGAAAATGGATTTATTACGTTATCAATGAATTGCACCATTTCGTCTCACCGGTAAGAGTAGTAGTTATTTCTTATCATTTATCGAACTTCGCTCTATCATTTAGAAAATGCTGTGTTTGTCAACAGTACATCATAAGAAATTCTCTAACAGTTCCATCAAATGATCGAAGTCTTATCTGGCTGATGAAAAACGTTTTCATACCTGAAGGAGCTCGATGTTGTACTGAACACATTTTAAATGGCCAATTGAATGTAGATGCAATCAATCAAATTAAACCATCAATTGTACAAGTCATGAAATTCAGTGCCAGCGACGTGCAGCTTTTAATTGATCAATGGCAGATTCATTTTCAACAACAGAAGCGCTTCAATTTTGATGATACTCGATCTGTGTCTGACGATGAATGCAAGGTGTTAACTAGTTTAACGAAGGTGCAATTTGAAGATCTTGTGTGGCAAATATCGAAATCTGGCATTCGAAATTCAAGTAATAGATCCATCCGTACTGCAGTTGCTGTCCTGCTTTGTAAATTACGATTTGGAATGTCAAATACACTGTTGACCGTTTTATTTCAACTGCCAGACAAACGAACAGTATCTAGATGTATCGAAAGTGCTCGAACAGCATTGATCAATGAATTCGTGCCGAAGAATTTAGGATTTGCTCATATTGGACGCAATGACATTATTCATCAACATACATCAACACTTGCTCAATACCTTTTGTGTGAGAATGAACCCAATACGGCCATCGTTGTAATCGACAGTACATACATATACATTCAGGTAAATGAAGAGTGGTACTTTTTATTGATAACATGAAGATGTGCATTTTTTTTAGAAATCCCGGAACAACGAATTTCAACGCAAGTCATTCAATCTTCACAAAAAGCGATCACTACTCAAACCAATGCTGATTGTTTCGACTACTGGCTATATCATTGCTTGCATCGGTCCGTTTCTGTCGAACTATTCGAATAATGATGCATCAATTATGCAGAATATCTTGCATCGAAATACGGACGGTATACGCAATTGGTTGAATGAGGTATGTCAATCTAGTTTACAACAAAAACAAGAAATATTTTTTCTAGGATGATGTGATCGTAGTGGATCGAGGCTTTCGAGATTGTGTGAATGCTATGGAAGATCTTGGCTTAAATGTCGTCTTTCCTCCGTTTCTCAATGGGCGCAAGCAATTCACTACAACGGCAGCGAATCAATCGCGATTTGTGACGAAAGTGCGGTGGGTTGTTGAAGCAGAAAATGGCCGAATCAAACAGTTCAAATTTTTAGCCAACACTGTAGCGAATTCATCTTTACCACATCTTGAACAATATTTATCTATTGTTTGTTCAATCATTAATCGATACCGGCCACCAATAAAAACCTCAAGCATTCAAGACACCGTGATAGCCGATCAAATGATATCGTTACGAAATCAAAAGAAGAATTTCGAAGCAGTAAGCTCAATCGCTATCTAATACTTCTAATATAGTTATGTACTTATCAATTCAGTTTCTTCAGAAAAAAAACTTAAAAAAAACTTCTTCAACATGGGAAATGATTGATCATTCCGATATCCTTCACGAATTTCCAATCATGACAGAGGACGAAATCATCAATAATATCACATTGGGTACACTTTACTTTTCGGACCCTTTTCTATGCACATTTATGTTTCTTTTGTCACACAGGGATCTACCAGTTAAAAAGAGCACGATCATATGCCGAAGAATGTTCTACAACGACGGATCTTACTGCAGCAGTGAATTACAAAATCCAACGTTGCCAAGAATTTCCAAATATAATTCGAGTTGCAAGTCAGTCAGCCCACATCGCCCGAACAATATATCATCCGATCATTCGATTTTCATCTGATCATATACTAGATTGGTGGTGTGACTGCAAATGTGGTAATCGTTTCGTCAGATGCTGCTGTCATATCGCCTCTGTATCTGTAGTGTGGTTTTTATCATATGCAAGATGGCAAAGCCGAACAAACACTATGCCATCAGGAAATTTCATCAATTTCTTCACAGATGCCGGTGAATTTCTCAGTTCGTCCGATTCCGACACCGGGACCGACAACGACGAAGACGAAGATAATCAGACATAAAATATAAACAATAAAATCCAGAAGAAACCGGTTTTGTTTTTGTTGAACTATCTTTTCGTACATCTATGTACAGTACACTTCGTCTTGATCATTAAATAAATAAACGAAACTGTGCTCTGCACACTAATGATTATATCGATTACACAATTATCCTATACAGACAAAACTTTCCACCACTCCTGGGCATAAAGCTCTAAATTACCACTTCCGATCCACATACCAAAGGTTCAAATCCATAAAGGTCTCTAACCCAATATCCAATTTCAAAGCTATTTCGAGATAACCAATAACTTTTGAACAAAGCGACAACTCTCATACTATAATCCTCCTTTTCCTCCACTATTTGAGAAACATGAAATTTCACCTACGCATCTAAACTACCTCACCACTCACACGCTTACCCCATGAACCTCGAGCACTGCTTTCAACATATAAAACTCTTCAAAACCCACTTTTCGAATAGTAGCTGAGTCATTGCGTGTAACAGACCACCCTCAGGCAAAGGTATTTTCTCGCATGTTTTGACACCGTTCGAAAGCCCTCGAAAAGTGCTGTCGAATGATATATCTTTCGACGCATTACTGCGCAGTTGTCGTGAAATGACTATGAATTATGATGTAAAAGAGGTCAGAACAATCAGCTTTCTGATTTTTGCGCTGCCGACAAAATATAAAGTTTTTTTCACTGGATTTCGTTGAAAAACATTTTTTCGTATCATTTGGAAGCATTCTGTGAGGAAATGAGAGCAAATTTGTCGTGGGCCGATTTCGGGTCTTATCGACCCCCGTCCTTTGACAGAATTGATCACGTGGAAAGTTTTTAATATTTAAAATGGTTGCTTCCGATTTGCACATTTACATTTGTAACTTAGACGTTAGATATCGTTGAGGTTCTCTGTTCATCAACAGTAGCCTTATTTATCGAAAACAGTGGGACATTGGAGTATTCTAAATTTCGTTTCGATGAGCACATACCACAGGTCGAGACAGGCATATTGAGTGGATTCCTATCAATTCGACTAAATTCTTCTCAATTATAAACTAGTGTCGCTTTAATACGAAAACAACAATTGTCATTTGATCAGTGTAACATTGCATTCCTTCCAAAATTCATGTGTAAAATACTTGGTATCATGATGCATCAGCAAATTATATTTCGTCTTGTTTCTAGAAGAAAAGCAGAAGTTGCAACTATTCAAATTAAACATGTATGCTGCAAGAATAGAGTTGACAATCAAGAAAATAAGTTTATATGAATTCATCTTGCATGTTTTTACTGCTTGTGGCCTTCATGGTTGTAATTCAAGGGTTGGTTATAACTACCACCTAAGGTCCGTCACTATTCAAATCCATGTGTGTAACGTTTTCGAGTTTATTCATCAAGCCTCCGTCGCTAGATTGATGAGGATTTGTAGCGTATCCAACGCTGCCATAATAATTCGAATTTGACGGATGAGCAGGCTTACCACCGACAGTTCCATCACCATTAATATCCATATGTGTGGCACTTTCGACTTGATTAATAAAGCCCGCACTCCTCTGATCTTGTGAATCGGAGCTAATTCTTACCCGAACCGATCACACCATCTCCGTTCAAATCTACACCCAATTTATTTTTAACTTGCTTGGTGATAAAATCTATTTAAAAAGCGTATGTAAAAAATGATTCATTTACAACGGAGAGTTAGAACAACTATTCAAGACTTTCTTCAAATTTTTTCTTTTGAATCAACAAAATTGATGTCACAGCTTTAGTTATCTTTATCGAACACCGAAGTACGTATATAAAAAGGAATAGGTTCACTAATGTGATAAATTTTATTTGATATTTCGGGCGCACTTCTTGACTAGTCATCATAATGGGTGGTCAGGGTAAAGATCTTGACGTCAATACATTCTATGAAGCATCTTAATAGCTCACATAGATTATTATAGAAACATGGGACTAGTAAAATGTGATTGGAACTTACTCATTCTTTCTTTTGTTATAATTGTTCGAAAATGAACCAGATAGAAAAAATTTCGCAATAATGAATTAAATCGACTCTTTTTGTGGTATTTATACATTTTTCTCTTACAGTAGTGACAGAATATGTAACAAGGTGCATAAGTCTTCTTCGTACATAGATTTAGTTACTTTCTTTTTTGTATTCCTTCTGAATCAACAACATATAATAAAATAAAAATGTTATTGATGTTCGAATTACCATTCAATATTATTCTACTCTTTATGTGCGTCGTCATTAGAGCACGGCTTCTTGTCACCTTATTTTCTTACACACCCTCTTTAGTTTACTTTCCGTCAAGAAAAACCGCGTCAAATATGTAAATGCATAAGACTTAACATGTAATCAACGAATAGAATAGTATAGGATCATGACACTGCCAGTCAGCAGCCTCAAATTAAACAATATTTTCAGTATATGTTTGGTGTAGCGTGTTGGTATGGCAATTTCTGTCACAAAAATTCAGTCGTTGAAAATGAAAAAATAATCGCATCCCTTTCCTGGGAGTGCAAACAAAGCAAGGACGGTTTGTACGCACAACGGCCCTAATCAAAAATCTGTTAAAACACGTTTACAAATTGGAGTTCATACTGCTTTCTGTAAGTCTACACTAGTCTGGATTCGTCTGATCTACTTTTGATAGCACTTTACAGTGCACACAGCAAATATTCTTATGTTAGAAATTGCATAACAATATTCCTGTAATCACAGCCTGTATCGATTGTAGACGCACTACTTTATATTAAGTGGTTGAGTTTTTGACATGACGCAAATACTATTTTGTTTCGATTTTTATCAGAGAAAAAGTAATTTAAGAAATAATTCAAATTCATTTTTCAAAGACCATCTGGAAATCTTCACAATAATTGTTCATGGAATATCAATGTTGTTTGGCTGTTCCAGATTTGCTGAATCTAATGAGTGGCGTTGCATGAAGAAATAAATGATCATGACGACAATAAATAATATTCTATTCTATAAGCGGTGCAAACGCTATCCTAAGTATATCTTGTTGAGTAGAAATCATATTTCTTTAGGGGTCAATTGTTCAGCCATGCATGGTCAAGATTTAAAACTTAATTCAGATACTCAGTATTATTATAATCAGAAATTTTAAAATTTGTTATAATTTTCCTTCCTGATCTTCAAGTTAAAGATCCAGGCAACCAAGGGGATAACGAAAAATTAGGTTATCACAATTTTTATCTTTTATACAACAAAATCATTGAATTCTGCAGAATTCTTATTTACCGGAGCCAGTTGATTGTTTACCTCGACGCTAAAACGTTCAGTTAGAATAAAAAAAAGACTAAAATTATATTTGAAAACAAGTTACTTTTGTTTATTGCGAATATCTAATATTAATTCATAGCTTATTGTTAAATTGTAATCCTATTATCAACATTGAAAGTAATCGAAATTGAGACGATAAATAAGTGCCTGTGTGAGTATTGAAATAATGTAGTCTATCTTCAACGATTTCCGTTCTTTGTATGTCTATACAGGATAAATCTTATAAATACAAGTTGCAAACACTGATCTGAACAGTAAAATCAATCATGCTATATGAGAGAGGATTCATAGACAAAAAAAAATAAAGTAATCAAAAATGGCATTCACTGTGAGATAAATATTTGTACAGTTCAATATCGTTTCATTTAAGAGATTAGCGATTTCTGACGGAAGAAATTATTGTATTGATGAAACTATGCTTTATTTCATTTATTTGTATCATGAATCGCGTCGAATACACAAAAGCACACATTTTAATACACAACCATCAGAAAGAATGCAAGAAGATGAAAGTTAAGAACAATTGCCAAGGGCATCAAAATGATTGCAAAACATAGAGTGAGTATAAAATTCGTAACAAGGACAAATAATAGTGATGCTTAGCTTTGAGCGTTACAATATTTTCTCTTTGATCATTACATATGGAGCTAACATCAAAGTTTCAAGTATTTTTAAAAACAACAAAGAACATGTGCGCAATACTACAAGATCAATAGTGATGAGGCAAAAATTTTTCTTCGTCATATGCCAAAAAACATACAGAGACATTGCGTGCATTAGTTGATATGCAGCCGAGAAAAAAAATCTCTAAAGCTTGAAGAACAACAAAAATGTTAACAGTGCAAAATTATGTGATGTTGCGTAGAAACCATAGTAGACAAAAAAATCGCAATGGCGTTATGAAATGCGCATATAAAAAGGCAATCCTCTAACATTCACTTCACATCATTAACAAGAATTCGTCTCTGCAAGAAGAAAAGGCTATTTTAACTACTGTTCTTTACTCGATATCATGACTGACATTAATTCCATCAAACCCGGCACTGTATTTGCATGGTTTATGCTGGTGCTAATTGTTCGCCGCATCGTTCTGATCGTTATGCTTATCGTAACGAAGCAAAAAACATCACCTGGACCACCTCCGCCAGATACATCCGATAGACCAACACGCATCAATGGTGCTATTCGTAATGATTCAGAAAATGATGCATACTTTCTAATACTTTATTTGGGAACAGCTATATTCTCTTACTCCGTGAATGCTGATATAGTAAGAATGATTGTCTATGGAGCGGTCTACTTAACTACTCGTAGTATACATTCGGTGATGTTCATATTGGCACTGCAACCGCACAGAATGTTGGCATTTCTTTTTGGTCTGCTGTGTACATTTGCTATGAGTCTGGATCTTGTAATTACAATGTCACGTACCACAAACTGAGAAAATCAAATAAATAGGAACGTTGTAGTTTTTTTTAAGAAGCGGCGATTGCGTTTTGTTTTTAATTTGACAGTATTTATTTTATTCTGAGTGGCTAAATTTACTAACTATTGATTTGAACTTGAACATTAACAATATTAATGAATGAATCGATACGCTAAAATCATTGATATTTTTTATTTTATCTGCATTTTTGCGATCTATGCATACAATAAATACAAAAAAAGAAATCATTATAAACTGCATTGACTTATTGATTTTCATAGAAAGGATCGATCGCGATAGTGAGATCAATCAAAGAGTAAAGGGAAATTATCAGTGAGAAATTAATTAGATTATTTTGATTAATATTTCTAATAAACAACATGTGCAGAATAAGAACTGTGCAAAAAGAACATCGTAACTGTTTGCAGTGCTTTTAAGCTTTCTATAAAACATGCAAAGAAATATAATTGACGCTTGTGTGCTTTCGTCGGCACTTGCTGTTTTTTTTTACCAAACCGACGGTAATTATGTTTGGTAACCATTCATAACGCAGCAGCACATTGATGCAAACTTCTACATGCAAAAAAAGGACTCAATTGACGCACATCAACATGAATTGACAATACCGCGTGGCGCAGAACAAATTGTACTCTACGTATTTTTGATTTTTTTTCCTTCTATCATCTCTTCGATGGAAATACTTGTTGTGAAACACGATCTGAAAGGAGTGTTAAAGTATATAGGGTAGAAATTCGAACCTACCGCTCGCTCCGTCAGACTGCAACGGAATTTAATTAATTTCCGTATCACGGTCTGCGATGATCTCAAGAGACTTCATATATGTCCTAATACAGACCATGATCGAACGGTTTTTTTTATAAGATTACAGCGATGTGACCGACATTTTTCAACCACTGAAAAAACCTAAAATGTTTTCCACACCTCAGTGCAGAGCAGTAAAAGTGATCATATTTATTCAAGTGTCATTTGACAACTCGAGATCTATTCAACAATGTGTTGGAGAGTACGATGGTGTGCAGATAAAAATTTATGGCAAAACGTTTTGTTTTAATAACCTTTTATTAGCGTTTAAATCCAGTTATGAAACTTTCATGAATTTTTTATAACATTATGTATAACTTTTCGAGTTGTATCTCACGATTGAAAATTCGAAGGTCTAAAAATTTTATCAACATGTCGAAAGGCGATGTTTTAGATTACATAATCAAGGTCCTATTGAACCTACATAATAGAATTCTAAGAATATAATCGGGAATCGCTAGATCAATTTCACGTTTGCTCTCGAAATATATAAATTTTTCTGAAAGGGATAATGCACTGTCTTTAAAGATTTTTAATTCAATATTTTGGTTAATTGAAATTAGATCGGTTTGCCTTAATAGTTCTGGAATACTAATCGTAGGAAAAGAGCTCAAATGGTTGTAATTTTGAAGAGTCAATTAGTACTACTACCGAATACGTAAAATTGGAGAATTTTTAGTTTGATGCAAAGTGTTATATGATAATCGGATCATATTGACGAGCAAAGATTTTGGGTGGGAAAATGTCTTACTAAGGATTTATTCGGTTAAAAAAATCAGCCCTTCCAATATATCTTTATGAACTACGAGAACAGCAATAAAATCAACAGTTTGATAAAATTCTTGTTTTTCACGAGATAAATCCTTTTAAGGAATGAGCTTTAATGAATTTCATCTAATGTGAGTTTAAAGTAGACTCAATATAATGCAATGTTATGGAAAATTAAACACTAGCTTCCCATAAAATGATACACTTAATTACCCTGAAAAGTACACTTGAACTCTTCTAAATATTTGAAGAAAGCTTCCGTTGTATTGAATTCTGTCTAGTGAGAGTCAGTACAATTTCGTCTATTCATTTATTGATATGAAGTTGTCGGAAATTAAACGTTTCTCAAAGCAACTGTTGCATGAATATATAGTACTCAGTATCTAATTTAAAACCACACATGATAAAATTTCATTGGAGCAACTTCTCGAGTGCTATCATTTACTAAAAACCCTGACTTTCGATTGGCTATCATTTGTCATGATGATCATTTTCTCACCTAGAAACAATGCGAAATGGAGAATTGTTTCAGTAAAGGTATGCACGTAATTTGCATCGCTAAAATAAAACTTTTAAACTTCTAGTATTTGTAATACTATCATTCAGTACGTTGAGAAAAGCACTCATAAAAATTCAAAAGTTTGATTTGTTTTCAAATGGCTCTCGACAATATTCTTAGAATTCGACTGTCATCGTATGTTGAATCGAGCAAATTGAATGTCCGCTATTGTGTAGTTTCAATAGGACTCGGACCGGCTTTTAAGAATTTACTGATCCATAGGTAGAAGTACTACACTTTACGATATGTCACTAAACTAATGACTCGAAAACAATGAGATCCTGTTAATGACGAAAATTAGATATTACACCAAAACGTTGTTTCAAGATAGGTGGGTTTAATAAATAAAAAATGTTTTTCTCGACCGATCCCTATGAAAATGTTCGGTCTTTTCAAAGAACGTTTCTTAAGATCTAAAATATCGTTGAAATATATTCTTCTACTTTTAGGAGATTTTACTTATTCGGAACCAATAAGTTAATTATGAAACAAAGAAAAATGTATGATCTATCAACAATTATGAATCCTTCTTAATTCATAAATCATTTTCTTTTCAGATTGTACTCTTATAGTCAACATTGAAAGTAATCAACACTGAGAAGATAAATTAGTTTTCATATAAATCCTGAAATGATGTTGCCTAATTTCAAATATTTCCTTCTTTCTATGTTTATATAAAATAAATATTATTGGAAACACCGGCTTGCACAACACAATCGATCATTCTATATGAGAGAGGATTCGTAAACAAAAGTACGAGTAACCACATGTGGCCTACATGTTTAGATAGACATTTGTCCAGTTTCAGTCTCGTCATACTTGAGACATTAGTTATGTTCTCTTTGATCATTGAGTATGGAGCTAACATCTAATTTTCAAGTGTTCTCAAAAATAACAGAGAACATGTGCGCAATACTACAAGATCAATAGTGACGAGGCAAAATTTTTTCTTCATCAGATGCAAAAAATCTACGTCAGCATTGCGCGCAAGAATTTCTATGTAATCGACAAAAAATAGGTTTCGATTGAGGTACGACAACCATGCTGACAATGCAAAATTGTCTGTTGTTAAGTAGGAATAACCAAAGACACAGAAATCGTAGTTGTGTGATAAAATGCAAGTATAAAAAGGCAAGCTAATTACTTTTACAGTGCATAATTAATCAAATTCGTCTCTACAAGAAGAAAAGTTTTTTTTAACTACTGTTCTTTACTCGATATCATGATTGACATTTGGGTGTGTACAGCAGTCAAGACTAGTTTCATCCTTGCTGAAGGGAATCATCAGTTGACAAATAGTCTAAATAAAAAAATAAAATTAAAAGAAATTTTAAAGAAATCACAAGATAAAATTATATCTGACATAAATATAGAATTAAAAGAATAACTCATATTTAAATGTTGATAAATTCGAATAACTGTAGTGTGTACAGCTACGATGATGTTTAGAGTTGTTTTTGCATGTTTGAATGTTAGTTTTGTTTTGAAATGATTTGTTGAGATATATCTGAAACAAAAAAGAAAGTTAGAAAGTT